CTTACTTTAATTACTATTATTTTTAGTAGTTACTTTATACTTTAATATAAACTTATAACTACTTATTAAGGGTGTCTAAGGATTTCTTTATATATAGTTAAACCTTTTTATTTTATATAGCGTCCTATATATAGACTAGCCTAATAATAAGCTATTAATTTTATATCTTAAAGTCTTTAACTTCTTAGATTTATTACTTTCTAGCTACTATAATAGTTTTAGTAACTTCTTATAGGTGTTCTTCTTTAAGTGCCCTTAACTATTTAAGGCCTTCTTAAGTTATTATTTATTATTCTTTTTTATTACTACGTTAGTAAGTAATTACTATAGTTTATTAGTTAATTTACTAAATATTTATAGGCTTAGTAGCTTAGGTTATAGTTTTAGTGCTTTTTTAAGGTACTATTATATAGTCTTTTTATTATAGTTTTTATTATTTCTTTTACTTTAATTTAGTTATAAAATTCTTTTATCTTAATTATTATAAACTGTTTTTATTAGGCTGTCTTAGTAGTATTTTTAAGCTTTCTTAAGTACTATCTTACTTATTTCCTACTATCCCTATAAGTTAGGTAGTTATTATTATAGTAAGTAGTCTATAAGAGTTATTTATAAGGAACCTCCTTTTAAGCTATATTAGCTTTTTATATATACTTAGGTAGGTTCTTATTTTATAGCTTTTTAGGCTGTCTATAGTCTTATATAAAGTGTTTTATCTTTTTATAGTTATAGCACTTAACTATACTAGTATTTTATACTAGTTACTAATTTTATTTTTTAGTAATACTAATATTTATAAGTCCTATATATTATTTATAAGTAGTACTTAAGTAAATATTATATAATTACTACTAGTAGTTTTACTTTTTATTTTACTAATATAGTTACTTAGGTCCTTAGGTATACTTCTTATTTATATTAGTATTAGGTTATTAAGTTTTTTTTATTTTTTATATTACTTAAAAAGTTATATATTAATTTTAATAGTAAGTTTAATATAAAATAAAAAGTCTTTAAGTAGGTTAATAATTTTAATAAGTCTATCCTTAATATTATTTTTAAGTCTTTAGTAAAAAGTAAAGATTAGTAATTCTTAAGTAATATTAAGTTAAGTAGCTAGTTATTAAAATTTAGCTATATAGTAAGAGGCTAACTTTATTTATTATAAGCTAGCTAGGTCTTACTTAGCCTATTTCTTCTTATTAAGATCTTAAAATAGTAACTATAAGGCCTTTATAAAGCTAGTTATACTTCTAAAGATATTTTATATCTTATAAAAGTATATAATAAGGTTATTATTATACTTAAGAAATTCTTTTAAGTAAGGTTTATACTAAGAGAGCACTTTTCCTTTATATAAATAACTTATTTAGTCTTACTTCTAAAGTTAGTAGTATAAAAGGTTTAATAAGTATAAACTTAAATTATAAATCTTTTTAGCTATTTACTAGTCTTATTATAAGTTTTAAGTAAGTTAAGTTTAAGTTTATTATATTTATGAACTAAAGTAGTAATAATATTTACTATACTCTTAAAGGTAGTTACTTTTTTCTTTAGTTTATTAGTTTTAGCTATTTTATTTTTTAGCTAAGTAATAGTATTATAAACTATATTTTATAGCTAGCTAACTTTAAGGGTTTTAGTATCTAGCCTTTTACTAATATTATTAATTATAGCTTATATTTAAGCTATATTATTATTTTTATATTTTATATACTACTAGATCTTATTATATATACCTTAAGTAAAGTCTAGCTTATTATCTAACTTTTTAGCGTCTTTTATTTCCTTATTTAGGCTTCTAGCTAGGGTAGTTAGGTTCTTTCTAGAGCTAGAGGAAGTTAGGGTTATCTTAGGTGTAGATATTATAAAATACTATTAGGTAAGTATTAAGGTTAACTTACTTAATAAAAGTAATTAAAGTGTTATAGCTAGTTTTTAGATAGTAAGGTTTCTACTAATAGTAAGTAAAGGTTAGTACCTAGTTAATAGTATTTCTCTTCTTATTATCTTTATTAATTACCTAGTAATTACCTTATCTTATAATTACTTCCTTATCTCTATATAACTTATACTATAGTTCTTTTATTCTAAGAAGTTATCTATTTGTTTCTTGTTTCTTGTCTATATAAATACTACTGCTGCCTACTATCTGTCTATTAGGTAGGGTAATATAGCCTGTAACTTATTAGGTCATAACATATAGCTAGCCTATTTATAGCTTTAGACATTACTAATTAATACTTAAATACTATAAAGATAACTATATACCTTAATAACTATATTACTAGATACTACCTTAATAACACCCTAGCTAACTTCTTATAGTTAGCCTTCTTAAAGTTTTAAAGCCTAGTATACTACTTCTTAGTACTAGTAAATATCTAGTAGTTACCTAGGTATAAAGATATCTTAGGAAATAAGATAACTAATAGCTTTATAAAGTAAAGTACCTTTATTAAACTTTTTAACTTAAAAACCTACTTACTTACTATTAGCTATATTAAATAAGAAATATAGTTCTATACTAGTATAGCCTTCTCTAGCTAGTAATATAAAGCCTACTTAAACTAATACTAACTATATAAGTTAAATAACCTTATTATATACCTTAAACTTACATCTAAGATCTTTTTACTATATAAAGAACTTTACTTCTTTTTTACTACTTATATAAAGTATAGTAACTTTATATCTTATTATAATAAATCTACTTACTTAGATACTAAATATCTTTACTAATATAAAGCCTTAAAGACCTTAGACTACCCTCTCTTTTACTATTAGTTATAGCCTTAGCTGCTATAAATAAAGATATATACCTAGCTTAAAGAGGACTAGTATAAGTTTATTAAGCTTACCTTAAAATTCTATACTAATATATATATATCTACTTAGCCTCTTAAAGTAGTAATAAGATAATACTATCTTATAGTTAGCCTTCTTAAGCCCCTTTTAGTAAGAGTAGACCTAAAGTCAAGAAATTCTCCCTTAAAAGCTTAGCTATAACCTAGGTTAAGATATATTACTAAAAGAAATCTTCTTTTCTTAATTAAGTACTATTATAAGTTACCTTTAACTATTAGATAGATAAGGTCCTCCTAGTATATAATAAATATACTTTACTTACTATACCTCTACCCTTTATACTTTACTAAAGTTATACTTAACCCTAGCCTATCAATAACATAGACTAGAAGACTTACTTTCTCCCTTACTATTACTATTACTAACCTTATATAGTTACTACCTAATATATATAACTTTTTATATAAACTTAGAAAGAAAATCCTAATTCTAGTGCTTATAATAAGGGATTTATACTATATTATAAGGACGTTGTTTTGCTTAAATTCCCTTCTAGAGAGAGAGAGTACTTAGGCTAGTAATAGTAAATAGACTACACAGACGCCTTGTGCTACAAGATAGACTTAACAGGCGTTAAATAATAACAATATTATTATTATATAGTTCTTTTATTTTAAGAAGTTATCTATCTGTTCCTTATTTCTTGTTTATATAAATACTGCTGCTGCTTACTATCTGTCTGTTAGGTAGGGCAACATAGCCTATAACTTGTTAGGTTATAACACCTACTACTTAATATAAGAACCTTTCTTCTTTATTACTCTTAAGTATAAAAAGAAAGTATCTTTAAGTTAAATATATAGGCTAGCTAATAAGCAACTAGGCTTAGTTTTATATTAAAAAGAATATTCTTTATCGTAGCTAAGTATAAGAAAATTATTCTAAGAAGCTACTTAATATACTTATTATATCTTTATAAAAGCTAGGCTATTTATTATTACTATTAAAGTTATAAAAGCTTTATACTTATAGCCTTTTAGATACTATTAAGAAATATAGCCTATAGGCACTTAAATAACTTAGCTATACTTTATTAAAAAAGTTAAATAAAGCACTTAATTTAAAGAATAGAAATATTACTTTTTAGAAGAAAGAAATATAAGAACTAAAGAAGGAACTAGAAGTATATATACTATATATAAAGCACTTAGTAAAGCTAAACCTAAATAAAGTCTTTACTAATAATAAAGTAGTATAATAGTTATATATAGTAGCCTAGTAAAATACTTTTATAGTTACTAAAAAAACATAAAAATAAGAGATAAAGTTTTAATCTTTTTAGTATAAACTTTAGATAGCTAAGTAGTATTAATTAACATTAGTCATAGTTTTAGCTAACATAGTAATCTCTATAAGAAAATCCGGCGGATGTAGGGGTGTGGCGGATAGGGGTAGGCTGACTTACCTAGGAGCCCTTATGTGGCTGCTTAGGCCTGTTACTAATACGGCAAGCAATGAGGCACGTGATACATCGCAAAAGGAATAGACAGTGTGGGAACGCTGACTGTATTTTCTTCTGTCGACCTTTGAGCGGGACAATATTAATCCCACAGACTTTACGGAAAATCGGTCTTTCGAAATTCCGCCAGTTTATTCCTCAGTCGATTCGGATCACAATTCCTCTCTTCTACATACACTACCGTCGTTGCAACTGATCTCCGTTTATCTACCGTCAACCCTCATCCCTTAATCGATTAATCCACTTCAGCGTCCCGGCTTCCCTTCTTCTCAGCCCCGGCGCTGCGCACGAACGTCAATTTTTCCTATTCGACAGATCTGTCTCCGGCGCCCCGATCATTCATCTGCTCCTGGCTGCTTGGCCGACTCATTACACAAGTAGGACTGGGATCCCGTCGGAACTCATCTAAACCGTTGCCTTGACGCTTCGCGGTTGGATCTGTCACCCGTCGCCCTGGTCATTCTACTGCTCGTGCAAGAGCCCCCAATGCACCTCGAGCAGGGTCGAGATCTCGCCACGACGCGTCTCGTCTGCGACACGGCTGTGACGAAGCCCCCTCTCAGAAGGGGTTAGACGCCAGCGCCCATGACTACGGTAAGTATTAACCATTCAGGTTCTCGTGCACTACTTCCTCTACGCGCAAATTTAGAAGGTTAAATAAAGTTATCACAACATGTCTGTTGAGGATAAGCCCTTTGTCCACGAAGTCTTTGCGGTGTGTGAAGATGAACGAGATGGACGACAGCCCAAACTTTTCGATCAACCCTTCCAACTCTACGCTAGCTGTAAGCCGTCGTCATCTGTCTTCTTTCGTCTCAGAGTCTCCCTCATCAACGGCGCCTCGCGCAAAATCATGGTTTATCTGCAAATCACACCGGATCGAATCTCTTCCCTTCGTTACACGACATGCAATGCGAACGACCTGGGCAGCCCGAGCCCGCCGTGCCTCGAACTTGTCCGTCAGAAACTGGGCGGCAGGCGCTCAGTAGCTCGTCTCCAGTTCCAGCTACACAGCACACATGCTCAGCTCGTCGTACCAATCGGTTTTGCTCTCGATGAGCCCCCAGACAGCCCGGCGCGTTCTGCCCTTGGCTCTGCCAACTCGCTTGCAGCCGCTTCCCTATTTTCCCTGTATCTTCCTCACAACGTTTTATCCATGGTGAAGTTTCAAAGCTTCGCACGGGCCCTTGACCAGTTCCCGACTCTGAGTGCCGAACAACATCAGTTGTATACTCGAATGGTGGATCTGCGTGGCCTGTATAACGGCACAGGGGGTATGGAGATGACACTCGAGGACCAAGATGCCAGTCCTCTGCCAGATAAGGACCACGACAGGTCTACCACACCACCCACGACCGCCTCGTATACTACTACTGTTGCCTTTGACACTCCCTCGCGTTATATAGACTCGCCACCGCGGTATGAAGAGTGCCCGGGTGAGGGCTGGCAGCCGAAGGCTAGGTCAGACCCCACAGCTATCTCCGCCGACAGTCTCGATGTCCGCTCTGCCTTGCCCGAGTACATAGAGAACGATCGACAGGACAAAATGTCGAATGCTCCTGAACGCGTGCTGCACTATGGGGGCAAATCCATTGATTCACGCAAGACGTGTAAAAGAAGACATTCATTTGCTGCCGGGTCGCCAACATTTTCGTCGATTGCAAACGTCCAACGCCCAGAGAAAATGCTGCGATCTCAGATAGCAGAGTCGGACCGCTGTCAGAGCAGGCTGGAGCTTCTGCTTGAACATCAACGCAAACAGATTGAACAGCTACAAAAAGATATGAGGGAACTTAGGAGGCGGAACACGGAGCTCGAGGGGCGATATGGTGAGGTGGAGGAAACCTGTTGTGACTTGGAGAGTCGTCAACTCGAAACGAAAGAGACCATTGAGTCCATACTTACACACACTGGCGAGCTCGACGATGAGTGCGAGAAGCTTGGAAAGCAGATGCCAGACATCTATGAGGAGGTGCAGGATACGGTGAAAGACTTGGTGGGTGAATGGGTCCAGGAGAATATGACGGAAATTATAAAAGGGCATATCGACCAGCAAGTCGCCGCCCAAATAGCTCTAGTGAAGACAAAGATGTGCCGGGCTCTACAAGATTAGCCGCTCCTGTTGCTTCTGATACTGCTGCCATTCCTGTATAGCACTTATTTTGGTACACGTGTGTTAATGCTCCTGGTCACTACCAGCTTTCTGAAAGGCCAGAAAGACACTTGGTTCCGCCGCCTCGCTATGCCTTACCTACAACACTTTTCACCCTTGATAAACATAAAACTTAGCAACCCCTACAGGGAAGAAGAGGCCCCAAATGAGAATTATCTCACGAAGAAGATTGGGCCAGCCTCTCACTGCCTAATTACTGAGATGTCGGCCCCCTTCCCATAGTAGATTGGGTTGGTAAAGTCACCAACAAGGACCATAAATCCACAACCAGCTTGCCTGCGGCACTGCAGACATCTGCAATTTCCTCGATTGCCTTCCATGACATGGGTTATGTCCAGCAAAGTATTTCACACCATGTACCAGAATAGGGCTGAGAACATCCCATACCGACCGGCCCACCGAAGGTCCTAACTCCCCCACCCTATATCCGAACCACCCCCACATCCGAACCACCATCATCACCACCATCGCCACCACTATCACCACTTATTTCACCATCTCTGCCGCCCACCCATATGCAACTTTTGGCCTCGCTAGGCAATTCGGATGCCCTGGATTCATCCAGACTATCTATATTGCCGGCATCCGGACTCTGCGCCCAGATTATATCCTCTATAGTGGCAAAGGTGCTGTTAGGCAATAGGCAGACCTTTTTCCTCTTGCGTGACTGTATATTATCTAACTAGGCCTGTAATAAGTTAACTTGCCTTTCTAGAAGGGCTGCTCTAGATACCTGCTTATTATATCCCTTTTACACTTTTTTAGATAAGTGACAGATAGTATAGGTATCTAACCTATCCTTACCTAGCTAGGTTAACTAGTATAATTAATACTATAGATTAGTAGATTAATAGGGAGTTAACTATAGGATAATAGATTTAGCTTTATCTTACTATTAGCTACTAGACTACTAGCTAGCCTGGCTGGCCTGGCTGGCCTACTAGGCCTTAGTGACTAGTAGGTTAGATAGAGGGTGCCTTTTAGATACTAGCTATAACCTAGTAGCCCTCTAGCTACTCTTAATGTTAATATCTATAATAGATACCTTACAGGCCTTAAAATAACACTCTAGAAATACCCTTTTGCTAGTAATAGTTAAATCTATTACCTAGTTATCTAGACATCTAACCCTCTAGCAATAGGCCTACTTTAATAGGCTAAAGATAGCTATATCTAGAGGCTAGAGGATAGTAAAGGTGTATAGCAGTAGAAATAATAGATAGATATAATACTATTAGTACTTTTATATAAAGTTAATAGTTATATAGCTATAATACCTATTAAGAACTAGTAGTCTAGCCTCCTCTAGCTAAGTAGGCCTAGTATATAAGATAAAGACCTCCTCTAGCTATTTAAAGATAGTATTATTAGTTATCTAGCTATTATTTATTACTATAAATTACTAAGCCTTATATCTAAATAGGTTAGATAGGTTAGATATAAACTACTAGGCCTAAAGTAACTTACCTTTATATATAAGTAAGGGGGGTAAGGAGCTCTTAGTAGTAGATATACACTTAATAATAGATACCTATACTTAGGATCCTAGCTACTTTTTCTAGATATATTATAATATTATAAAGCCTAACACTAGCCTATTAACTCCCTTAACCTCTATAATACTAGTCTTGTTTATATTTTATCTATTAGATAAATAGATACCTTAGATAGTAGGGATACTACTAAGGTAATAAAAGAAATCCTAGATAACCTTAGGGGAATAGGCTGCCTATTACTAGGTATTAATTACTCTAGATTAAAGGGTTCTAATAGATAGATTTTACTATATAAAATAGGCTATCTATTTCCTCCTTATAAGAGGATACCTATTACTTATTATATACTCTACTAGGCCCTTTACTTATTAATAGGTAATCTGCCTGCTAAGAGAAGCTTAGAGGGATATATAGGCAGCTAGATTATCCTCTTAGGCCTAGGATAAGTGCTGCCTATCTTTAAAGGCAGTATTCCTGCTTTACCTACTAAAGTATTAATACTAAAGTGTTAAATATAGTATACCTTATCTATAAGCAGCAGCCTAGAGGCTATACTACCTAGACTACACATCTAGGAGGGCCTATTAGAGCTTATCTTTAGAATATTACTTTATAATAAGTTAAAGAAGGTATCTTAAAAAAATAGCGTTATTTAGTAATAAATAGTAATTATTATAATAGTTTAAAAAAGGTAGTAGTGTTAATGAAGGAGGGGAAATGTGGGAATTTTGGGTGGTTCGGATGCGGGGGTGGTTCGGATATAGGGTGGGGGAGTTAAGAGTTCTAAGTTCGGCAGGAGACTGGCAATCCCTCTGTGGCAACAAAATGAAGGTCGGTATGATGGCGGCTCGATCGCGCACAATGCCCTCTGGAGGATAACCGTGCCTATTCGTCTTCTGGGCTTTAACCATGCCGAATATCGTTACTGCATGCGAGACTTGTGCAATGCTGGCTCAGAGACAAAGAGCACCTGCAGCCTTGGTTAGGTAGCTGTGTTTTAGGCTGAAATAGTGCACACTGTAAGATATCATATCTGTGCATAAGCAATGCTACATCCATTGGCTCGGCCTCTATTCCTCCATGGTACTTTATATCCTTGGAGAACTCGGGATGACCAAGCGGTTTGTGCCCGTATATTTCCTTCAACGGCGGCGGTTTGATGTACGCGAGGTATCAGAAACTGTTCGAACAAAAGTACTGAATCGGTTGTGTAGCTCCAGGAGATCATACGGGGTACAGCCGTGGATATAGGATAAGGCCGTTCACCACGGCATCGCGGCGGCGAGACGGGGCATAGGATATGGGCGAGCGGGTGAAATTAGATGTTGCAGATAGCAAGTGAGACGAAGTATCCTGGTGTCTTTTAGGGATTAGGAATGACTCTTGGCAAGTTCTTGTTGGAAACGACTTACTAGTGTGATGGGCAATACGACAAGTGACAACCCACTACAAGGTGTCACAGCGGAAAGGGTGGTTCGTGCAAACACCATTTTGAATAGATACAGTGGAAGAAGAAATAGTAACAAAGTATGCCACACGGTCTTTGGATTAACAGGAGAGCCCATGCCATTAAACATGTGGTCATGAACTGGCCTCACTTCAGAAGCTCAAATTGTCTAGCCATCGCGGATGATGAAGAAGTCGTCTCAGGTTGAATGACTAACGCCAGATCCTATCGTGGACGCAAATCGGGAGTACCACGTATGAGACTGCAAGCTGCTTGCACATCGTTCTACGAAAGGGCAACGAGGGATCAAAAAACAAATTTTGCAGAGCTTATTGGTATGATGTGCGGCGAACTAGAAGATGACGGCCACGGTACTCAGGTAGCCGGCCTCTTTCCTTGGCAGAATGCATGTACCATCTCAGTCTCTGAACCATGAACATCTGCCCAGGTCTCACATTCCTCGACCTGAAAAACTCTTGAATCCTCGCGGAACTCACGACCAAGATCTACACGACTTTCGCCCACCCCTTCGGCATCATCTCCACCGCTATAGGCAACTGCAAATACCTCCTTGCCTGCATTGAAGAGGACCTACGCATGTACTCGTACTCTTCTCAACCGCACACTCGCATTGTACCCGCCGTTGGTGCAATTTTCGACGGCAAGCTTCTTACCAAAGGCACGTCCATCAGTGTCACTCATTGCGCCACGTCCAATAGCCCCGCGAACTAGACGCTCCTGGGGGAGTTTATCCCCGAGCGTGTTAAGCATGTTTCGGAGACCACTTGGAGCAGGACCAACAGCCAAGGTCTAAGAGACTGTGACAGGTTTAGGTAAAGCTTTCTGGCTTAGATTTTCTCCTTTACGCTTCTGTGTTAATATTGTTGATTATGGATAGGGCCAGGGGTGGCTTTAGGCACTGGGAGTCTAGATAGGCTGAACGTTACATCAAAGACACCTACCTCTTCTCTCTCACTGGAACATAAACTAGCCAAACTCCCTCGGTTTCGACCAAATCTGTCACAACCTTGCGCGTCTGTTTGGAAGTTTCCAATTGCCGCAGCTAGATTGTTATTAGTGTGCGCCACATCCACTCTGTCGCCCTCTTGCGTCTTGATACCAAATTCGAACACCAGCGCGGCCAGCGCCCGAGCATCTTAGTATTACAGTGCTAATACCTGTGTTCTGGAAGTCTCCAATATACGCCCTTATACGCGAATACGGACGAGCTAGTCTTGCATAGGGAGCAAGCCCCTATGAGGGCTTGACATGAGCAAAGCCGCCTGCAACTGGCAGGGGTAGCGAAGGAGGAGACCGCCTCGGTCACAGCACAAAGCATGGCGAGAAGTGCATTTTGCGGGAAAGAATAAATCCGTTGACTGATTGAAAAGACGCTGACCCTGTCATGTTGAACCTCATGTTGTTTAAGTAAGGAATTGAAGACATGACTGACACCGAGGGTGTGCCGAAGATGAAATCTTTGTAAAGGCAAGATAATCTAGAGCAGGCAACATTTTGAGGAATACTTAACTCCCCTACCCTACTTACAAGACATCCCCACATCCAAGACATTATTATTACTATCATTACCACTACTATTACTACTTATTTTACTATCTCTACTGCCTACCTATATATAACTTTTAGCCTTACTATATAATTTAGATACCCTAGATTTATTTAGACTATCTATATTACTAGTATCTAGACTTTATACCTAAATTATATTCTTTATAGTAATAAAGGTACTATGAGGTAGTAAGTAGACCTTTTTTTTCTTATATAACTATATATTATTTAACTAGGCTTATAATAAGTTAACTTACCTTTTTAGAAAGGCTACTTTAAAAGCCTACTAATTATAACTTTTTTATATCTATTTAAATAAGTAATAAATAGTATAAGTATTTAACTTATTTTTACTTAGCTAGGTTAACTAGTATAATTAGTATTATAAATTAGTAAATTAATAAAAAGTTAATTATACTATAATAAATCTAGCTTTATCTTACTATTAGTTACTAGACTATTAGTTAGCCTAGCTAGCCTAGCTAGCCTACTAGGCCTTAGTAACTAGTAAGTTAAATAAAGGGTGTCTTCTAGATACTAGCTATAACCTAATAGCCTTTAAACTACTCTTAATATTAATATTTATAATAAATACCTTATAAGCCTTAAAATAATACTTTAGAAATACTTTTTTATTAGTAATAGTTAAATTTATTACCTAGTTATTTAGATATTAAATCTTTTAGTAATAAGCCTACTTTAATAAACTAAAAATAACTATATCTACAGGCTAAAAAATAGGAAAAGTATATAGTAGTAAAAGTAATAAATAAATATAATACTATTAGTATTTTTATATAAAGTTAATAGTTATATAGCTATAATACTTATTAAGAACTAGTAGTCTAGTCTTTTTTAGCTAGATAGGCCTAGTATATAAGATAAAGACCTCTTCTAGCTATTTAAAGGTAGTATTATTAGTGATCTAGCTATTATTTATTATTATAAATTACTAAGCCTTATATTTAGATAAGTTAAATAAGTTAAATATAAGCTACTAGACCTTAAAGTAAATTACCTTTATATATAAGTAAGAGAAGTAAAGAGCTCTTAGTAGTAAATATATACTTAATAATAAATACTTATACTTAAGATCCTAGCTACTTTTTCTAAATATATTTATTAGAAGTAAGAATATCTCTAATATTCTTATACTTCTTTATCTTATATTTCCTCTATTATAGAGATTATATATATATAAGATATATATATTTTTAATCTACTAACTTAGTAGATTAATATATATATTAATTACGTAAGTATTTCTAATTACGTAATTAACAGAAGATTAAAGAAGGTACTAGAATATCTAAGATCTCTTAAGATCCTACCTTCTAACTCTATCTTACCTATAAGGTTATTACTTTAAGTTAGGGTTATTTAGTTAAGGTTATTATCTTACGCGTCTATTAGGTTGATTTATAAGCAGCTTACGTAAGTATAGAATATTCTAGTAAGCTAAGTATAACTATATAAGGGCGAGAATACTTCCTGTTTCTAGTTTCCTTTCCTTCTTTCTCTAAGCAAGCAAATAGTTAATAATCTAACTACTATACTCTCTTTTAACTATATATCCTTATATCCTCTATTTATCTACCCTAGGTATAAGCATTTATATCTCCCTTTTATCCTATATTCTTGCTTCTATAGGATATATCTTTATATAAGAGATATACTCTCTTATATTCTCCTAAGCTAGAATTCTCTATCTAAGAGACTAGCTTACCTGTTATGCTAACAATATTATAATATTATAAAGCCTAATATTAGCCTATTAACTTCTTTACTTTTTATAATACTAGTCTTATTTATATTTCATTTATTAAATAAATAAATTACTTAAATAGTAAAGATATTACCTAAGTAATAAAAGAAATCTTTAATAACCTTAAGGAAATAGGCTACTAATTACTAAGTATTAATTACTTTAGATTAAAAGGTTTTAATAAATAGATTTTACTATATAAACTAAGCTATTTATTTTCTCTTTATAAGAAGATACTTATTACTTATTATATACTTTACTAAGTCTTTTACTTATTAATAAGTAACCTACTTACTAAGAGAAGCTTAAAGAGATATATAAGTAGCTAGATTATTCTCTTAGGCTTAAGATAAGTGTTATACATAGGTAAAGGTAGTATTTTTACTTTATTACTTATAGTATTAATAATAAAGTAACTAGTATAGTATACCTTATTTAAAAGTAGTAGCCTAGATATTATACTTATTTTATATATCTAGAAAGGCCTAATAAAGCTTATCTTTAGTATATTACTTTTTAATAGGTTAAAGAAGGTATCTTAAAAAATAGCGTTATTTATTTATATATATAAAATGTTATAATAATTTAAAAAAGGTGGTAATGTTAATAAAGGAGGAGAAATGTAGGATTTTTAGATGTCTTGGAAGTGGGGGTGTCTCGGATGTGGGGTGGGGGAGTTACACCGCTAGTTCCCAGCCCTGGTATGGCCAGAACTCTCATCGACCGGACTCAAAGCCGCTTCATGTGTTGCCTGTTACCATGTTCCATGAATTCTCGGCAGGAAACAGGATGGGAGGCAATCCCTGACACGTATCATTGTGTAGTTTTGGGTGCCTGTCATTCGTCCCCTGACACTTTCCATCTTTTCACCGCACACTGTAACATCGGTTAGAATGATTCGATCACTGTGCCATGCTGAATCCCAATTGTTGCAAGGTTGCAGCCCCTCAGTATGATTCCATCCTTTTCCTCTTTGCTCCTCTTTTCTCTTCCACCTTGCTGGGCTAATCTCCAGGTTTGTGCCACCATGTTCTGCCGCCGACTTCTTTTCCCCCGCTCCAATAGCTATATTAATTATTTTGCTATTAGTAATTACTTAGCTATTAGCTATTAGATTAATTAATTTAAAACTATTTAATCTTACTTTACTATTAGATCTTATTTTACTATTAGTTCTTATTTTACTATTAGTTCTTATTTTACTACCTCTTATATTAAAATCTATAAAGGCTATAACTGTTAAATAGTAGGGATTATAATAGTTACTTAATTAATTCTTGTTATATGTTATATATCTATAGTAAATTACTATAGAAATAGGGAAAACCCCCTATTTCTTAGTTAGGAAATCCCTAGTTAATCCTAGCGATATTATTAGTAGACTTACCCTAAAAGTGAGGCTAATTTACTGCCTATTCCCTAATAATTTACTATAGGGTAACTGTACATTTACTAGTTAATTTATATATAATTCCGCCACATTTAATACACCCCCTTAGCGCTAGTAACGCAGTTAATTACTATAGAGCCTATATTAAATATCCTCTATATATAGCCTATTTATTTATTAATTATCTTTTAATATCTTATATGTTTTCCTCCTTTATCTAGTAGTAAAGCTTTACTTTATTATTAGCTAATTCTTACTATTAATTTGCTTTAAGGCGTATACGTTAGTTACTTATATTTAATTAGGCTATAAATATAGTAAATTATAGCGCGCTAAGCGCCTTTATTAATCTATTAGCTATTAATTTAGTAGACTTCTTATATTTAATAGTAATTTAATCTACTACTACTTCTTATTATAGCTAGTAGTTATAAATATCTATATACTATAACCTTATCTATAGTTAGATAAGCTTCTTAGTAATAAGCCTAATAGTCTAGGTATTATTATAGCTAACGTAAATAGTTAGTAGCTATTTAGTAGCTACCTACTTATTAAGTAATAATTTAGTTCTTATTTATATTAACAGTTAAATACCTAGTGTAGTAATTAATTTACTAGTAAAAAGCGCCTCTTTTACAGCAGATAATAAGGCTAGTAATTTAGCCTTAGTAGTTAACGTTATTACTATATCTTACTTTTTAGCTTACTAAAAGATAAGCCCTCTAAATAGCTTTAGTGCGTACGCTTATAAGCTATAATAGTGTAGTAAGTTATTAGTAAATAAGGTGTCTAAAGTAACCTCTAACGTATTATCTTTACTACCTAACGTTACTTTATATTTAAGGTAAAAGTGCTATATATAGTAAAGATATTTAAGTATATAATTTACTACCTTTTAGTAATTTAAATTTAGATTATAGTTAAAGTAAGTAAGCTAGCTAGCTATAAAAGTAACGTCTAGCTAAGTTATTACTACTATATAAAGGATTATTTCTACTTTCTTTT